AACATTTTCAAATATATCCTTTTATTTGTTTGCAAAACAGTCAATAACATTTTCAAATATTTCTTCTAATTGCTTCAGTATATATTTATTCACCATTCATTATTCAATGCGTTGTGATATTATTCATGCATGGCCTCACTTTCAATAGTCGATTGAGTAAACATGTTTGTAACGAATAAGGAATGCCCATTTCCTGGTTATGCAATTCGAAATATAGTGTTAGAATTTATTGCGAATAAGCCAAGTTATTCCAGTCTCTCACACACGTATAAAAATGCATGTATGTGTGTTTATGTATATGTATGTATATATACATACACAGTTTAGTTAATTATTCATTCATCTATCTATTCATAGATAGATGAATGCACACACACACGCATACACACACACACACACACACACACACACACACACCACACACACACACACACACACACACACACACACACACACACACACACACACACACACACACACACACACACACACACACACTTGTTCATCACTTTCATTTCTACCTAAAAGCCATAACCTGTCAAGCTCTTGGCATTGCTTTTAATACCAGTCACATACAGAAACGGATCTTACCTCATCAGACGACATCCAGCACGCAATATTCAACCATTTTGCAAATTAATTTCATCAGCCGTATTATCCACCAATTAAAAATCCATCTACAGATTCATTAAAAAACAAACGAACAAAAGCAACAGACAAGCGACATTCACAGGAGCGCAGAACACGACCACAGAATTTCCTTAAGAAATTTTACATTAAATTCTGCATAGAAAGATCTTAAGAAATTTTACATTAAATTCTGCATAGAAAGATCTTAAGAAATTCTACATAGAATTCCCTTTAAAAATTTTACAAAGAATTATCTACATAAAAAGATCTTGTGAAATCTTACAAATAACATTCCTTGCGAAATTTTACAACAAAATTACCCAAAGAAAATAGACCTTTTTACCCAAGACTTCCCACTTTACCTCTGCAGCTTCTCGTGGTCGACGGACCGA